GCTGTGGAGGGACGTAAACAGGAAAGCAAGAGTTATTCCAGGGGTGGATTGTAGAGGATGCGTCCTGGGAGCCACATGATTTCCAAGGGATGGGAAGGAGGAAGCAGGGAACATCCCGCCCTTGCCCTCCTTGCTGTGGTGCTCAGGCTGAGATTCAATGCAGGGGGAAGCGACTGTGTGTACTGACCACATTTCTTAAACTACAGCTGAGAACCACCTGCCAGAGAACCCTGCATGGTGCTTGTTCAAAATGCATTTTCCTGGGTCCACCTCAAAGCAACTGAGTCAGAACCCCTGGAGATTGGACAGGTCTTGACACACCCAGCAGCAAATTCCTTTACACGCCAAAACTCGGGAGCCATTGCTCAGGGAGATACCCACACAATAGGCACTGGAGAGAAATAGTCAGAAAAAGTGGATTCACGGTTTACACAAAAGCAGATAACCAGTTTGTCAGGCATCTCGTTCACCTGCACACCCTCCCACTAGCCCATTGTTCTGGTGTTAAGCAGACAGCACAGGAAAGCTCCCTGCTTCCCGGTTCTTATGTCACCTTGCTGTGGGTGAACATTCTTTCGCGTGAGGGATTTAGAGAATTGGCCGGGTGGGAACGCTGATGTTGAGTGAGTGTGGGTGCTGATGTGTGTTTCCCACCACCACGCTCACCGTGACGCCCATGGGAGCCTTTGTGTGGCCAGGTTGTCAACAAAATGGGAAATCCTCCTGGGCATTCTCGGGATGCTCGGGGGAGATCTCCATATAGCTCTTCAGTGGCCACAGGGAAGAGCACACTCTCACCTCCCTGACTATCCCCAGAGCCAAGCTTCCCTTCCTGGGTGCAGACGGTTCCCCCAGAGGAGTTGGCCAGGGCAGAGCGACAGTGGCAGCCACGGAACCTTCCCAGGTAGCTGCCTACAGAACTGAGGAAGGAGCCTCCCAAATAAGTGGACTGTGAAAATTCAGTCTGCATGCTTCTACCTGCAGCTCTCGGCTGACCGGCCGCAGAGGGAAAGCCGGGAAAAGCTATGGAAACGTCAGGAAGCAATTGACGCAGCTAAATCATGGCTGTCATCGCAGGGGTGTCCATACGTCCTGATCTTGCTTTACCGACAGTCTTGGCTCAGGACCCCACTCCTGATGGAGGACGGGGTGCCGCGATTTCAGAGGCTGCCAGATGGCGGTGAGAGGCCCGGTGCACACATGTCACACCGGCTGACAGCATCGGGAATTATGCAGAAGCAGAAGGAGCCCTTTAGCCACAGTGGATGGTGTTTCTGCGGTTCACTGAATACCTCTGCGGAAAGTAATGCACCTTGATAACTGACCGTAAACTCGCACTAAAGGTCTGATATGCCGAGACAGGGGCACTTTTTCCAGTCGCCATGATGGCTGTACCGCCAGCATATCAGGATAGTGTTTGTTGGAACCATCTTTCCCTGGGACCAAATAAACAGTTGCTCTTGCAAGTTTACTGACTTAAGGGCAGATGAGTGAGGAACAGAAAAAAGGCAAACGGCTTTGCCCATGGACCTCCTTCTCCTCCTTGTTTTTCTCTGCCTGCTCCCACCAAAAAAAGCCTTTAAATACCACGGAATCTGCCTCTGCCTTCAAGAAGCCTCCCTTGATTTACTGAGCTCAACCAGCCAACACCCTCTCCTTAAAATGCACTTTTAAAACCAGGCAGTCTCCAGTGCTGGATTCTCAGCTCTTTCTTGCACTGGCTGTGTGGCCTTCGGCGCCCTCAGTGCTGCTGGGACAATGAATGTGTTAATATGCGAAGAATGTAGAACTGTGTCTAGAATAGAGGAAGACTAATTTATTGTAACTAATATATGTAATGTATATACCACATATATATAATATATAATATACAATATACATATATTAGAGTAAAATATATTACACATATACATTATATACAACATATAATGTGTATACATATATACAATATAATAATTATTAGTAGTAGTACAATAAATATTCATTAAGTACCTACTATGTGCCAAGCACAGTACTGGCCACTGGAAATGGGGATAAGAAGTAGGGGGAATAAATATAAAATAAAATGTCTCTTGATCTCGTTGATGTGTAATGAACACCCAGCCCGGGAGGAGGATGCATGTGCAAGTCACTCTAACAGAAAGCTGAACAAATCCTTTCTAAGCAGAGGAGGTGGGCATGAGGCTCAGGGAGCGGCCTGGGGAAGAAAGGAGGAGCTCTCCAGGTCATTCTGACTGCTGGAGAGGGTGGGAGGGCGGCCTGGAAAACGTGAGTGTGTGCTGGACTTGAAGGATAAGTCGGATTTTCTAGGGAGAGTTGGGGTGGGGGATGGGCCAGGCACCCCAGGGACAGAGTGAGGGAGGGAACAGAGGCATTTACTCATCCAGAGCACAGTGGTGAGCGCCACCGTGGGCCAGGCACTGAGCTGGGATCCTGGGAACAGAGCAGTGACCAACATGGATGGGGAAGGCTTAGCTGGCATGGGGAGGGAGGCGGTGGAAATCCTTTTCCCACCCTTCTGACCCCATGCGGTCATGGAGGAAAATGTCCTTATGGTTTAATCCAGTAATAGGTGGCATCTGATACTTGGAGCAGAGCACATTTTAGCAGATAGACTAAGTGTTAGGAAAACAAAAACTACGTCTACACCAATTATTTTAACAGAGATAATTTAATACAGGGAATTGGCTGAACAGAGGCAAAAAAGGAAGACTGAGGATTGAAGAGGTAGTAACTGAAGCAAGTAGCTACCACCCTTAAGACTGAGGGTCAGAAGAGGTCGGGGCTACTGGGAATGAGAGGCATGGAGCAGGAGCTCTGCAGAACTGGCATCCAGGCTGGATCTGGAAGGGTGGAAAAGACTGGAACCCACTGCTGCTACCGGGCTGAAGGTGGTTGCTAAGGCTATGCAGATGGGAACGGGAAGAAAGTAGGAGAGAACAAGCCCCTCTCTCTCCCCTCCTGCCTTCCAGTTTCCCTCAACCAATAGAATGTGGCAGAAGTGACAATAGGTGTGTTCTGGAGCCTAGGCCTCAGGAGACCGTATGCCTCCAGCTCACCCTCTTGGAATATTGCCCTGAGACCACCATGGCACAAAGAACCCATGAGGAAAGACCACGTGGAGAGAGACGCCCAGCCCAGACAGCCCAGCTGCCCCAGGCCACCTGCCAGCTGAGTATGGCTGCATGAGCGAGCCCAGATGAGCCCCCCAAGAACCAACCAACCGACTGACAGAGTTGTGAGAACTGAATGTTGGGGTTTATTATGCAGCAATTCACAATGGAAGCCCTATACAATGAAGAACACAGTCAGTGAGGGCGGGGCACCCTGCAGCAGGACTTACTGCTGCTGGGCAGGTGGGAGTGGTGCTGGGCAGGGGCAAGGACAGGGACAGATGGTGAGAGGGAAGGCTCTCAGTCTCTGGTCTGACTCTCAGTGAGTCTCAATGAGACCATAGCTGGTGGAGGGTTTCTTTGAGTTTGGAACTCACACTTTCTATATTCCCTCTTTTGCTCTCTTCTCTCCCTTAGCAATGTAGCTCCAAGGCATGGGCTGGGTCCCCTTCCTTGCCATGCTCTTCACTGGCTCCTCATCTAGTTAATTCCAGGCATCCTCATTCTCAGCTTCTATGGTCGTGTCCTCAGAGCAGTCCTTCTTGATCCTAAACCACGGCCCCCTGTATACTCTCTCAAGATACACTGAGTTTTCCTACACAGCACACATCTCAATTTGTAATTATGTACCTATTTTTGTGTTTCGAAGATCCAGACTCAGCAAAACCTAAACAGCTTATGCCCTGAGACTCTATAAGACGTGATGAGTAATAGCAGAATTTCTAGCCCCTCACCTTCCATAGCGCTTTCTGTAGCCTGCTGGGTCTCAAAGTGTGGCCTCTGGATGGGATCAACGTCGTTTGGCATCATCTGGGAACTTGTTGGGAGTGTAATTCTCCGGCCCCACCCCGTCCTCCTGAATCAGAAACTAGGGGTGGAGCTCAGCACCCTGGGGTTTAACAGGGTGATTTTGATGACACACTAAGTTTGAGAACCACTGGTCCAGACAGTGAGGAGAAAGGTGACTTGGGGAGGAAGCAAAGAATGAGGACACAGGACCTGGAAGAAAGACAGCCCTATGCCAGCTCCCTTCCTGCTCAATTTAGCCATATCAGGGGATGGTGTCAGAAATGCCGGATAGGTTCGGAGGGGATGGTCTGACAGCACAAGGATCTTCACCCAGTGAGAGAGAGAGACAGCCAGGCCCCTGTTTAACAGATGAGGAAACTGAACTTTAGCCGGATTAGGTAACTTCCCGAGAGTCACACAGCTGGGATGTGGCAGGGCTCCGACTTGACCTCAAGTCTCTCTGTCCCAGGGTCTGCACTGCTAGCCAGCCGGCTCAACTGCCAGCCTCAGCATTATTTGGAAACACATTTCACACTTTTCTTAAAGAAACAGCAAAGTGAGCATCTCAGCAGAGAAATTCCCGGCCGCAGTGTGGGCTCTGAAGGTGGAGAGCGTGTCAGAGGCTTGGCGGGCAGCTGGCAGCTCAGCTGTGGATGCCACGGGCACCACGATAGGGCTCTGCGTCTCTTTCTCTAAGTCCTTTGCTACAAGCATTCAGCGAGGCCGAGGAGAGAAACAGCAGCCAGCAATGCATCTCCCCAAGTTTATTTACTAAAACAGCATTTTTTATTACCAGGGCATGTTCGCAGCGAAAATGTGACAGCCTACATTTTATGTGGCCATTGATCTTTAATCCGAGCCTGCCTTGAGGTTCCCTATAAAATCAGGGCTTCCTGGCCCCAAGTGCGGTTCCGCCACGGGAGTGAATGACAGCCCAGGCTGCTCTTTTCTCATCTGAAAGGGCTGAAATTGCTTTGTGTAAATGGGTGGAAAATGCTGATATTTGGATTCTATAAATAGCTCGCCTCCCGAGCGAGCAGCGCGGGGGTTTCATCTGCGTCTCCTCGGAGTGTTTGGGACCTGATCGCTTTTATCCAGGGTGCGGCATACAAATGAACTTGGCCACTGTGCGCCCCGCTGGGCAGGGCGGATTTGGAACATTTGGGCACATCTGCGGGTCTTGAGGGGGGGATGCTGCTGAAGGAAGCAGGATATGGCCCACGAGAGCGGCGGGGGCCTAGAGATGGGCACGAACCTCCCTTTAGGGGAGAGAGAGCTGCGCATCCCCTTCTCCCCACTTCCATTTGCAGCCTGTGCCTGCCTGCGTGGGAGAAGCGTCTATCTATAGCGTGCTATTTTTAGCTCCATCAGCTGAAGAACCTGACAGCCAGTTAATGACTGGGACCCATCGGCGTGTCTGCCAGGCTGTGGAATGCGCACGCCGGGAGCAGATGTGCTGAGAGGCTCAAGGTTGTTGCATCGGAAAATGCCCTTCCTTCCCTGGAGGCAGGCCGTTCGAGGGGCTGCGCCCTGCACTTTCCCAGAACCCTCATATGGCAGGGAGGGGGCATCTTGCTCATATCTGGCGCAGTAAATGATATCTTCCTAACCCAGGATCCCATTCCTAGACACTGTTAACACAGCCTGGAGAGATGGAGGGGACAGGGAAGGCTGGGGTGGCAGCCCTGGTTGCTGAGAAAGGAGTCTCATGTCACCTTGGGGAGATCAGAAACCTGGGAAGAAGACTAGCGTACAGCCACTCTGGTTGCGAAGCTGTAATTTTCCCCAAAGAGGGAAAATCTTGTGTTTCAGAGATTTCATGCCCTTCAGAGGCTGTACTCTATATTGGCTCCAACCCCTGAGTCTATAGATTGTGTGCCACATGCTCGGAGAGGCCCAGCGACCTGCCCAGGACCACACAGCCTACCTCTCCTGCCCTCACACCCTCTGCAGCTACTGCACCCAGGACTAAGTTACAAATCAAAGGGCTGCTTATACTCAGTGAGTGAACACAGGAATGTGTTCAGTGTTTGTCCATTCATTCAGTCTCTCACTCACCCTACAGCCAGAGGCCAGGGAGGGCCAGCCTCTGGAACACCAGGAGATCAGACTCAGAGCAAAGGGTAACGTGGAAATGCCAGTGTCAGGGCCCCACTCATGAAGCCTCGGCGCATTAACCAGTTGGCTTGAGGGTTAACACAGTAGATGTGTCCAGTGAGGCCCCTCTGGAGGCTTTCGCCACCAGTCAGGCCTCCTGGATAATGCTGGTGGCTGACACGTGGAGCAGGCAGCGTGTACCTTTCTAAGCACATTACACGAATCAGCTTACAGTTCGTGCAACCTCAGGAGATAATACCCTATCATCACCCCCATCTCACAGGTGGGGAAAGAGAGCATGCGTAACTTGTCCAAGGTCACCCACCCAGGAGGTGGGGCATCTGGGATTCAAACCTGGGCTGTCTGGCCCCACAGTTCATGCCCTTAACCACTCTTCCATACTGCCTTAGGTCGGGCCCATCTGACTTGCCTCCCTCACCTGGGCCTTGAAACTCCAGTCTCTCACTCACGGGCTCTTCTGGAACAGCGTCATCATAGACGGAGATGTTCCATATCTGTGCTGTCCTATATGGTAGCCACTAGCCCCATGTGGCTACTGATGATTTGAAATGTGGCCCGGGTGACTGAGAAACTAAATTTTTAATTTTGTTTAATTTTCATTAATTTCAATTTCAGTGTCAATAGCCACATGGGGCTAGGAGCTGCCGTACTGGATGGAGCAGCTCTAGAGGACTGGCAGCGCCTTTTAATCTACAGGGAGCTTTCGAAGATGATAACGCCGTGATGTGTTCCCAGAGACCCTGACTTAAGTGCTCTACGGTAGGGCCTGGCATCATCATTTTAAAAGTCTCCAGGTGATTCTAATGTGTAGCCAAGTGTTGAGAACCACAGGGCCCCATGATATCCTGAGTCATTCTAGCCTCTTCTAGCCTCTAGGAAATGGTCCTCTATTCCTGTTGTGGCAGATACTGTGGGTAACTCATTTAAAACCATTCTCGAAACTTTCATCCCTTACCTTCCTCTACCACAAAGGTTAGAAAGCTCTAAATACTTGATTTCACCAATAGCCATATAGCTGGCCATGCAGGTTGGCCATGTGACAGACACTGTTCTGGCCCAAAAAACACAAGCAGCATTCTGCCGATGTGGTTCCTTCATCCTTCTTTTTTCCTGCCTAGAATTCAACTAGATCCCCGGAGCTGTGGCAGCCATGTTACAACCATGAGGGAAGACCAGAAATTTTGCAGACAATCACCTTGACATCACTGTGCTAATGAATCAAACCCAGCAGCTGCCTACCTCTGGACTTCTTGTTTTGGGAAAAAAATACAACTTATTTGCTTAAGCCACTCTAGTTATGTTTTCTGTCTCTTACAGCCCAAAGCTTTGCTAATACGGTTCTTTTATTTTCCTTGGCTTTGAGATTGCTCTAAAGACTGAACACATTGGTGTATGTGAAAGCACTTTGCAAACTGGCAAACATTCAGCAAATGGACTGGACAGTGTTTGCAGTGGGTTTGGAAACACTGCCAATCTCCCCTTCATGCAAGAAACCCAAACTCGAGGGCTTGAAATCCGTGCTGTCCAGGGCAGGTTGAGGAGAGTTCCCAGGGGGACTCCAGTGAGGGGAGGGGCAGAGTCCTGGGAATAAGGACTTGTCCTGCTTGTGACTTGTCCTGTTTTGCTTTCCTGGTTTTAGCAGTGAAAGTTGGGTGTCCCAGGAAAGCCCCAGTCCCTAACCAGGATAGTTGGCTGCCTGTCCTGGGAACATGGGGCACAGAGACCTCTCTTCCACCACAAAACATCCGCTCGTAGACGAGGTTGCTAACTGACCCCAAAGGGCCTGGCCATTCCTTGCTGGAAAATCCATCAGCCTATACTCTCTGGGCCGGAACATCCTCCACTCAGCATTTCAGTTGTGGTTGCTGAGAATGAATTAGTGGCTCTTAGAAATGCTCGCACACTTCCTTTAAAGCCTCCACTTCTTCTTTCTCAGGAAAGGATCCGCCCCTCCAGGGGAGGCAGGGCCAGCCTGAGGACTGAGAGCTCAGCGCCTCGCACAGAGCCCGGCCCAGAGCCGCCCTCCGGAACACAGCTGCTGGAGGGAAGTGCCTCGCTGGCCTTTGCCCCCTACTCCAGCTGCTCTGTCCACCTTTGGGCCACGCCACCCCTGCCTCGCCTCAGTCGCATCCCAGCCGGAGTCTCCGGGAATTACGCTCCCCTCTTTTCGTTGAATGGCGCGTCCTGGTTTGCAAAGGCAGCTCGTGCGTGCGCATCATCCCCTTTGATTCTCCCAGCAGCCCTTATTCTTCACTTCCTCCCAATTATACAGAAAACCGAGACGCACAAAATAAACTAACTTGCCAGTTTCCCTCCAATTTCTGTCCGCTCCTGCTGAGGCGTGAGAGGTGGTTCTGGACAGGGCTTGGGGATCAGACGGATTTGGGTTGGAATTCTGCCTCTTCTCTGCCGTGCAGCTTTGGGCACGCTTCTGAGCCTCACCTCTTGGGTGTCAGGAGAAGTAGATCAGATAGCGTTTCTGAAGTTCCCAAGAGATCCCTCCCTTCTCCCTTTCTTCCTTCCCACCTTGCCATCCCTTCCACAATGTTTCAATTTTAACAACTTATAAAGCACTGAAAGTCCTTTAATAGGAATAGCTGACAACCATGTGCCAGGCACTGTTCCAAGCATTTGTTAATTCTCCTGGCCCTTGAGGTCCATACTATTTTCATTTCCATCCTCAGATGAGGAAACTGAGGCACAGGGAGGCTAAATAATTCGTTTATAGTCTCACAGGCTGCCAGCTCCAGAGGGCACTTTCCTAACCATCATGCTGTCCTGCCTCTACTGATTTCCTGGTGGGGAGTTGCAGGAGCTGATGAGACAGGGAAGCTGCAAGGCCTTTCTGGATCCTACATGCCTTCTGTGCTGTTTCCATCAAGTATGAATTCGCTTAAAAGTAACATGCTTCTTGAAAACATCATGGTGCACTGGCAGCTACTGAGGGTGTATTGGTTTCCTGTTGCTGCTATAACAAATTACCACAAATTTAGGGGTTTAAAATAACACAGGTTTATTATTTTACAGTTCTGGAGGTCATAAGTCCTAACTGAGTCTAACTAGGCTAAAATCAAGGTGTTGGCAGAGCTGCATTCTTTCTGGAGACTCTAGGAGACAATCCACTTCTTTGCCTTTTCCAGCTTCTAGAGGTGGCCTACATTCCTTGGCTTGTTCTCCACCGTTTTCAAAGCCAGCAGCGGCTTCCAATCTATGACTCTAACCTCCTCTTTATAAGGACCTTTGTGCTTAGGCCCAGCCAGATAGTCCAGGATAATCTTCTCATCTCAAGATCCTTAATCACATCTACAAAGTCCCTTTTGTCGTGCAAGGTAACATATTCCAGGGCATGGATGGGTTCTTTGGGAACCCGTTATTCTGCTTGCCATTGGGGTGTGGCAGGATTGAATCCCAGCTCTACTATTTGTAGCCCTCTGTGCCTCCATTTCCTCCTTTGTGAAGTGGGAGGTTGATGAGGCCGTTGGAAATACCTACCTCCTAGGATTGTAAAGGTTAAAGGGGGTGATATATGTGAAGTTCTGTGAACGTGTACGTGTTTTTTTAATAAAATGGTACTGAAGGTGAAAGACTGGTTCAGGCCAGTACAGACCTGGTTAGAAATGCTCGCCTTCTACAGCCCAGAAAACCCAACTCTAAGGCTGCCCACTATTACTCGTTTCCATTACCAGGCCTGAAATGTGGGGTAACCACTCCCCAACCATTTGGCTCAACGAAGGTCTTCTTTGTAACCAGAATCCAAGTCATGGAACAGCCCTTTATCATTTGGGGCTACATCAAGTGAATTACCCCCATCTCTGTGAAATATTTGACTTTGCCTGGGAACGTCTGCTCAACATGCTCCTCATGCTCCCTCCTCCCCAGCAGTCACGTGTTTGAGGCAGAGTGAGGAGCTGCAGGGGACACAGGAGAACTGTAAGTCCACACTTCTGCCCTTCCCAGCGATCAGAACCTGAGCGAGGCCAGGCACTCCCAAAGGGGCCTCCAGAGAGTGCAGCTAAAGCCTCCAGCAGGGCATGTAGTAGGTGTGCCAAAATAACCAAAAAGCACTCTTCTACACGCTTTCCATAAAATAGCTCATTTAATTCTCAGAACAACCCTAGGAGGTAGGTATGGTCATATTCCCACTTTGTAGATAGTAAAACTAAGGCACAGAGAGTTTAAACTGCTTGCCTAAGCATGCAGCTAGTAAAGTAGCAATACAAATGTCTGGAGCTTGTTACCACTACCCTTTACTGCCTCTATGGTTTTGTCTTTCTTTCTTCTCTCCACCCAGAATACTTAAATTTTAACAAGACTCTTAGGTCTTTGCAACGAAATAATAATGATAGAAGGGGATGGTCATAGCAATAATAATAATAATAATAATAATAACAATAATAATTATAATACATGAGGCCAAAGAGGAGGGCTTTGGGGGAAAAATCCTGGGTGGAAGGAAATTGAGAAAGGGGGACTGAACTGGGCTTTGGGGAGGGCAAGGCTGTCGTGGGAGGGGAGGTAAGCCCTGTACAGAAGCTTCTTTAGGCAGAAGCCATGAGGCCAGGCATGTCTGGGCACAGCTAAGAATTCTGTTTGATTGGAGTGGAGAATTTATGGCCCACGTTGGAAGTTGAGACCAGTCCTACTCATTCATTCAACAAACATTTACTGAACACCTATGAGCCAGGCCAGGTGGTGTCCTTGGTGCTGGGGAATTAGCAATGAAAGGACAGACAGTGAGGTCCTCACCCTCCTGGAGCTGCCCCTGCACTGGAAGAGATGGAGAAGAACAAACTAATGAAAACATATAAGGAAGTTAGGTGCAGAGATGAAAATAGAACAAAGCAATGGATGTTGGAAGAGGCAATCCACCATGGACCATGAGTGTCCCTACTCCTCACTGCTGGGATGTGAAGAATGCAAGAGCCTGATTGCTCTTTACCAGGCCATTTCTCAGGGTTGTGTTTGCAGCAGGCAATCTTTTTCCATCAGACAAAGAGCAGGTTTGCTTACTGCTCACTATAAAAGCAATAAATTCCTCAAGCACAATGCTCTTTGGTTGTGATGCAAATCCACTATATGTGTGGCATCCACCTGGGCCTCTCTGTGTCATCCCTGTGAGACTTGGGAGACATGGGAACCAACGCCAACACCATGCTCTGCTACTTGCTATGCCGTGAATAATAAATCCCCTTGTCTCTGACCCAGGAGTCTCGTGTCTTCTGTGAGCATCCATGACACTGGCAGGCTGACTTATTAGCTTGGAAGCAGGGTAAAATCTCAGACCCTGACAGAATCGAGGTGATAAAGTACAAAGTGGGGGGAGTCAGGGTCTCCTGAAGTGATCTCATCTTTATCTCAAGGGACAGGAAAATAACACCTGATCTGGAAGCTACATGTTGAAGATTTGGTGGCAAAAAAGAGCTGTTAACATTATTAATTAGGTGATTTAGCAAGCTTCATCTGGGGACTATAGGGCAGATGATGAGAATTGTTAGGTTTTTCAATGTGAGAAGGAAGTGAAGGTAATGGCAATGTATTATGTTGTCTATAAATTAATCTAAAATATTTTAACAGAGAGAGTATAATATGTAAGTGTATGTGGGTTAGTTTTAATCTATACTCTAGAGACAGTTAACACTTTAAGCATTCTAATCAGAACACTCCAGGTGCTGTTGGTTAGTGCTTCAGATCAGAAGTTCAACCTTTTGAGGTGGCTACCACAAGTTTTCAGCAATCTTTATCTCTGATCAATATCAGAGGCCTTGTTAATTAACATAACGGGTGCTGGAAATGATTTTTCCTTGGTGAAACCAGTGGTATTCAAGATGTGTGGATGGGCTTGAAATATTGTACAGGGATTCCTACTCTTGCATGAATAGAGTTCAAGAATCCAGGGAGTCCAATAATGCCTGAGTTATCAAACTTGGCTGCACATTGTGATCACCTGGCAGGAAGCTTTAAAAAATATCAATACGAGGGTCTATCTGCAGATTGATTGAATCGGCATGCTCCACATTCAGCTCTGTCACTTATAAGTTGTGTGACCTTGAGCAAACTACTAACCTCTGTGTGCCTCAGTTTCCTCATCTGTATCATGGGTATAACAATATGCCTACCTCATCTGGTGGTTGTGAGGATTTAATGAGTTAATTCATGTTGAGTACTTAGAACAGAGTAGGAAGTAGGAAGTTCTCCATTAAATGTTAGCCATTATTATATTATTCTTATTCAAACTATTTTTATTTTGATCTTTGGAAAAGTTGCTAAGGCGTGATTATAGTG